ACATGAACCCTTAGTCTGTCTACAAACCCCCAATTATGAGTCCATCCTCTACGTCTTTTGTCTGCTCCACTTTTCAGAAAATGTGTACTCAAACAGGCTGATTGAAGATTTTCCCTTTGTGACATCGCAAAGGACAGTAACCCTTCCCCCAGGTGGGTGACACACCCACATCTAGATGATTGTTCTGCCCTCTGAGTCCGCCTTCTCACTGTAAATAATAGGGCATGGAGTGAGAAAGCCTGAGTCACGTCCCCGTCCAGAGGAGCGTGGTCGAACAGCTTACTTCCATTTAAAGCTAAAGATGAAAAAGCCTGCTCTGAGCAGGGCTGAAATATAGGAAGAAAAAAGCAGATCGTACAACATGCGACCTTTAGAGCTGTTCGTTAACGCTTATTGATGTTTGTTCCTCCTTTCCAGATCCTTGCTTTTGTTGTACTTGTTCTCAGATGTCCGTTCCTTTGGACAAAGGCATCAGCTTAATGAATTGGAAAATGTCATTGTTATCTTTTTAATAAAATTAAAACAAGTCTCTCTGACTCCTGCATTAGCTATTTTAATGATTGTATGTGGCCCAGTGTGTCACAGCACATAAATAACTCCTCACACTCTGGTTGTAGTCAGGAAGAGAAAAAGAAATGAACGCTGAAATTGGAGAAACAAGTTTTTTCTCCTTAAAATGGCGATTTGTTCCAGTCTGCAGCTGGCAGGAGGGAGGAAAAAAAGGCTTGGTCGCACTGCTCACTATTAATGAACACATCAGACTATTGTCATCAGTCATCAGGGATGAATAAATCACTTTAGTCATGGTCCGCAGTCAGTGAAGACAGCAGTCTGGTAAAGTGAGTCTGATCACAGGACCTGATCCTGCCCTCTGAGCCCAGACAGGGATCTCTAGTGGAGCAGGCTCTAACAGCTGGATTTTAAATCTGCCATTTTTAAAGGTTCGGATGGTAATAGACTTTCTCGGGTTGTTCAAAACAATAAAGCATGATTTTTTTTCTTTCAAATCTGTTATTGGTTTCTGTTTGCATTTCCTGTCTGTCAGTGTGTTCTTCTGCTTTACACTGTCCTCAGCTTGGTGAAAGTAGTGTCATCGATCACATATAGCTCCTCTCTGAGTTCTCCTTGTCGCTGCTGTCCTGTTCTTTGCTCCCAGCAGCAGCCTCTACACAACAAGACATCCATCACAGGTAACGTTCTTCCTCATAAGACATGCCCACACTTCTGTTGTGTGAATGTGGATACATATTTTCTTACAGGATGTAGTAACACAAAGCTTGTATCTATTTGTATCTATTTATATGTCTTAAAATATAACAGTTTTTAAGCTTGTATCTACAACTGGTAGGCTGCACAGGAGGTTGTTGGGAGTTATCCAGACTGCTTAATGTTCTACATTAGCCTGTCCTTTAGACAGAAAGGATTTTTTCTCTCTCAGATTTAGATTTTGGTTTAACCATCTTATCAGCATCCATGTCTGCTGCTGTTACATGCTCAGTAGCTTTCCTTCTCTTCCACTTCTTGTCTCTTATCCTCTGTTTCCCTGGTGGTCAGAGTGACAGTGTGATTTGTAGCTTATGTATGAGAAGCCCTTCTTCAGGTTGGAGACGGACAGCAGCTTGTTAGAAGGCTACCTCAAGTTAAGACTTCAACAATGTCCTGTCATACCTCCCTATCTCCATGTCATACCACAGACAGGCTCCACTGAATTGCAAATACTAGTCTATGAAAAAACGATTTTGAAGGAGGGGGAATATTAATCAGTCAAAAATATTTACTTGTAAAAATATTCAAAGTGTTTTTAAGAAAAAGCATAACTTTATGATTAATCAATGGATTGCACTTTGGAATTCACTAACAATGACTTATTCTTATACTTATATAAGAGAGCTTACATTTAGCAGAGCTAAACAGCCAAACACCACAAAAGATGACAAGATGATTTTCTTTTGAACATTTTCTAAATCTGTCTTTACACTTCAGTGACTTATAGCTTACATTTCAAAATAAATCCAAGATTCAGTACCAGATATCAATTTTGTGTGAAGGCAGTAACAATACAACACATTTAAAATATGAGCCTATTGGCTTTTTATGTTGCTTTTAAAAGTTTCCCAAAAAGAAAAAAAACTTTTTCATTGTAAGGAAATAAAAGGTTTCTGTTTTCCGGTTTGATATAAATCTGCACATAACCTTCTCAAACCTCTGCTTCAGACTCAAATCCAAGACCAACACACAGTCAGCTAAATATATTCCAGTGTGAACATCATTTAGAAGTTGTTTTTTCTGTGCTTCTGATTATTAAAGTTAAATGTTAAAGGTAAAAAATGCGTCAGTTCCTGTTATAGATCTGTGCAGCTTGCTTGCAGTGTCGGTGGGGGCCTGTACAGCTACAGGGGTCCATATTTACAACAGAGCAGCTCTGGGGCCCCAGGTCAGCACTTTCCAGAGAACACTTCCAAAAGATGAAATTAAAACCTACGTGGAAAAGTGAATGTTTCTCCATTTGAGAGCGGGTATCAAATGAATATATCCCATCCATCAGAGCGGACGTTGAGCTCACTGAAGGATAATGAAACGGACGAGAGTGCAGGCAGGAGGCCCGTTCCGAAAAGATCCAAGACAAGGCGTATAATCAAATGTCACAGCATGACCAAAGCAGGAGTAGATTATAAAATAAAACTGTCTGAGGACTTTGTCAGAGCTCCAAAAGGCTGTGACTGCAGATGGCCTCCCTAAACTCTGCTAATCAGTCATCCATCTTTTTTATGGCCTGCTACTAAATGTTTAGCTGTTGGCAAACTATCTTTCTAGCCATCTATGCTTTTATATTGTACATTGTTTTTATGCTGACACGATTTTGTGAATATCAATTTTCCCCCATGTGCTACAATTTACGATATAAATAGATAGATAGAACCTGGAAGGAAATGGTCAGTATGTCATTGATTTGGAAGATCTAACATTTTCATAGTTGCAAAAATCTTTTTCAGAACTTTGCAGGAGAACAATCACTTTATTTATTTTATTGACATAGAAGCTAATACCTGAGATCGTGTGAAAATAATTCTGGCTCCAGTTCTGCACGATTGTCATTATTGATATTCATTATTTATTTGTCTGGTTCAATATTTAATGGTTTTGATGTTAAGTGAAAATCAAGCTGAAGCCAGACACCAATGCATTATTTTGTCAAAAAGAAAATTCAATGCAGTCCCCAGATTGTCAGTACTGTAGTAATGATGGACAATTTGTCTTATTGCTATGAGTACCACTGCTATAAAAGGAGCAGGAGAACCAATAATGTAGCATAAGTTTGTCCTACTTTTTGTGATTCAGTGTAAAGAAACTGTTATGGTGACCGCTTCCAGGTCTCTGCATCTGTTTTCCTGCAGAAGATCTCCCCACCATTACACTAAATGAAGGCCTGAAGTCCCGACAGTACCAGAAGTATAATTCTGGGAAGAATGCTTATTTCTTATTTTAATAAAAGTCAAAAATCTGGATTTATACAGAAATGCATTTCAAGCCAAGAGTCCTGTAAGTGTAGAAAATCAAAAACTAGTTTCAAATACAGAGTCACTGTCTTTAGGGTTTGTTGACTCATGAGAAATGGTCAAGCAACAAAACACACAGTTTAAACGTATTTGTACAGACAAAGCTCAAAAGACACTGATGAATTAAGCAGTCAGTAATATTTTAAGTGTAAATAAGACTCAGAAATGATACGTCTGAAGAGATATAATTTAACTTTATAACTTAATATTTTACCAACATTTACACTGATATGTGATTATAATGTGTGTGTACAATTAAGCACATTTGAAAAATATTTAAAAAATATCAATCCACTGAATGGAGGAACGATATAATAAGATTATTAAAGTAGCCTCTACCAAACATGAAAAGTACCTCACCACCAGTTTATCATTTTGATCATATCATTGTTTATCATGGAACAGTTAGTTTTTAAATGCATCAGATTTTGGTTTATTTTATAAAGTAAGTTTTGATCCTAAAAGTAAGTTTTAAAGGGAGATATGTCAGATATTTGAAAATGAATGTCACATTATATGTATCCTCTCAAAGCGCTGAAGATTTTTTTCCAGTCTTCTGTGCTTCAGCTTAATTGAGCTAGGCTCAGCTATGTTACGACTTGGGATGTCCTCCTCTATCAATCTGCCTGTCTCTCTCAGGTGCTATCACGTTGATGTATGTCTCTTTCCCGCGCGCGCTCCGATATGCTGTGATGTTATTTCAACAAGTGACTTGATGTGAGTTAATCATTTTTTGTTCTTGAATGTAATTGTTCAGAAAATTGACGCAGAGCGGGTTAATCCAAGATGGCATGATGTCCTCGCACGATCCAGTGATGAGCCGCGCGGTGCCAATTACGCCGTGCAAACGAGGACAATATCTCGCAGGGGGGGGTAACATATGTTTATTTTTTTTGAAAAATCTCCTAATTTTGCAATGAAAGTGTTAAACATGATTGTTCTGCTTTCTAATTGGACTCCTCCCCACTACCTCGCCTTCTAATTACCACCCTGCTTTCTGGCTGCATCACAAACTCTGATAGAGAGAGAGAGAGAGAGCGAGAGAGCGAGAGAGAGAGAGAGAGAGAGAGAGAGAGAGAGAGAGAGAGAGAGAGAGAGAAATTGATTACCTTCCTGTCAGGAATAACTGGTAACTGGTGGTCAATCGCTGCTGCTTTTGGTGCATCACCGTCCACTGGATGGGTTCGGCTCATGCCTCCTTGTGCGTCACGCTGGATAAGTGGACCGGAGACGTGGTGAAACTGGTGGGAGTCAAAAGTGTCCCAGCAGCATGCATCTGAGCGGCAAACATGCGGCGTGAGGGACACGTGTGATACGAGCTGTGGATTATCTGTTCTTTTCTGTTTCATCTCCTTCTAGAACTTTAGTTAAGTCTGTAAAAGTTTCCTGCAATAATCGCTCCTATCTAACTCACTTTAGTTAGGTGAGACCCGCTCCGCCGCCATGACCTCTAAGGACGAGTCGAAATGCCCCGCGGGGCTCGAGGAGCGGAGACGCAGTCCGCTAGATCAGCTGCCGCCGCCGGCCAACTCCAACAAGCCACTGACGCCTTTCAGTATCGAGGATATCCTCAACAAGCCGTCAGTAAGAAGGAGCTACTCCCATGTCTCACCCAGAGAGAAGCTGCCCTCGGTGGGCCACAGCCTGTCCGGCCGCGCGCTACTCAGCCAAACATCCCCGCTGTGCGCGCTGGAGGAGCTCGCCAGCAAAACCTTTAAGGGTCTGGAGGTCAGCGTTCTGCAGGCTGCAGAGGGTAAAAATGATTTTCTTCTGTGCGTTGAGTGATTTGAGCATGCCAATACTGTATATTGCAGCCCTATATTTTTTCAAGACTACAAAATAATATGGAGCTCTGATGGTGCTGTGATTTATATATGAATTGTAGGCTATTTGTTCCAATCAATTATCGAATAATAGATGAAATAAACATGAAATAATCATGTTGTGCTAAAAAAAAGTGCAGTTATAGGTGGAGAACACTTAAAAACACTTAGCACGTGCAGCTTTATTAACAGTGTTTATGTACCCATGCACTGCTGCACTTTGATTTCGCATTGAGATTTTTAATGTAGCTAACTTGTGCTGTTTTACGTTCTGTCTTTTACGTGTGATGAGATTTGATTGTGATGTGAGGATTTCTGAGCTTGAAACTTCCGTGAACACTGACAATAAATTGTTCTTATTACACTGTGGCATCAAAAATACGTTGCATTAAAAATTAACAAAATAAGTAAAAATGTTTTTGTTTTTTTTAAAGTAAAAAAACAAACGATATAAAAAGAAGAAATTTAGCAATTTAATTGGTGCATTGTTTTTATACAAAAGAAACAAAGGTATTTTTGGGAATGTTACCTGACTACTTAGTTACATTATGATTTATGTAGATGCCACGTGTTCAGTTGCGTTTTGAATAAATCAAACCATTATTTTTTCATTAAAAAATACAGATTATACATGTATCTTATTATTGATAGGCAGGGGAAAATCTAGCCAGGCTACATCAGTGATGTACGCAGGTACATGATTGAGGCTTGAACCACAATTTGTTTTATCTTAATTTCCCCCCTTATGAAACTCATGTATCCCTCTCTCTTAGGCCGAGACGGCCTGACGATGTTTGGTCAGAGGAACAACCCTAAGAAACGGCGGAAGTCACGCACAGCGTTCACTAACCACCAGATCTACGAGCTGGAGAAGCGCTTTCTGTATCAGAAGTACCTGAGCCCAGCAGACCGAGACCAGATCGCCCAGCAGCTCGGCCTGACCAACGCACAGGTCATAACCTGGTTTCAGAACCGGCGAGCAAAGCTCAAACGTGACCTGGAGGAGATGAAAGCGGACGTTGAGTCCGCAAAGGCCGCAGGCTCTGTGGCCTTAGATAAGCTATCCAAGCTTGCAGAGCTGGAAAAGTGCGCGGCCGGGGTTATAGGCGGGGGTATGGTTTCAGTGCCAGGCCACACTGAACATGACACTGTCCCCTCAAAGGCCGACAACCACACCACCGTGAGCCTTGACTCCTGCATACCGCACCGGTCGCCTCCTTCACCCTCGTCGGAGTGGTACGGGGACCGGCTGAGTAGCAAGTGCTGCTCGGAGGACGAAGATGAGGAGATTGACGTGGATGACTAGACTTTGCCAGTGGTCATCGAGACAGCCGTGTGAAATTTCAATCAACCCGATGTTCCAAACAGAATCTCTTACTTTACCAGGATTCCTTTCTTGAGGGACATTCAGTAGCCTAATGCGTTGAAACTATCCAGAAACAGTCGAGCTGTTCCGGTTTGGTAGTGCCATAGGCCAGTGTTTTTGTTGGCGAACAGGCGCGCGCCCACAGAGAGAAACATCACAAGGACAAACTCCAGGAAGCGACCATACAGGTGCTCACTCAAACACACACGAGTATGTTGATTGAACTGTTTTGAATCACTCAAATAAAAATTCAACGCATGTTTAATTTGCTTTTATTTTGGGTTCGAGCTCACTTCTTTCACCTTTTTGATACATGTCTATAATTTTTTCTAAAATGATAATCATAAATAGAATTTGTGTAGCTGAACCTTGAAATAAATGATAATTTAATATATTTATAATGCTTTGAAAATCCCTAAAGTGCCTTTAAATATACACAACGCATACAACTGTTCTAAATGTAAACAATGATGACATTGTAAAATAAAATTAAAATTTTCAAATATTCAGCCTATTGCACTGTTTTATGAGTTATTATTTTATTTCAATGTTTTTCAATATGAGGACCGATTTTATGTAGCCTATAGGCCCTATATAGCTACTGGATAAGGTTTTTGTTTTTTTTAAATCATATTTATTAGAGTCAGTTACATGTGTTTTGGGGTGTTTTGGCGCAGAAACGGTGTTGTTTGCCAAGTCAATTTACAACAGCAATTTGGTTTCTGACCTTCTGTGTGTATTTTCTTTTTTTCTGTGAGAAAAACAATCTGGAGTCGAGAAGAGGCTCTGTAGTGTGTGTGTGTGTGTGCGTGTGTGTATGTGTGTGTGTGTGTGTGTGTTCTCTGGGGAGCTCTCTCCAGCAGCGCGCAATACGGACACAAGCTATTCGTCTGCCGCACCGTCCGGCGGGCCTGAGCGCACAAAGGCGGTCAACGGAGAATTATTTTGCGGCCATATGGTTTCAGGATTCTCCTCTCATTTACGAGTCACTTTGATGGATTGACTTAACCCGTCCTTTCAGCAGCGTAGCCCCTCTTTTGTCGCACACAATGCAGACACACTCGCTGCTCCCCGTCCCGCTGCGTTTAAACACGACAATGAATGTGAAAGCAGCTCATGTGGGCAGATCGGTGCCTCGTTTTGGTTCGTGAGTGTTCAAATGATTAACTTCATGATTACATTGATGCTTAAGTCACACACTTCATCTGCTCATCATCCGCTGTCTGCGGCATTTTTTGTAGCCAGCAGTTATTCTGGCGGTACTTCACATAAATATCAGCCTATACATTTAGTCATGCTATAGGTTATTAGCCTTAACAGAAAATAAGAAGAATACAATAAAAGAACAGCACTGTCTAGTCTGTAAAAAAAAAAACCTCACTGCTATAGCCTATATTTTCACCGTGTAGGACACCCACTGAATATATGGAATGCATCATTATTTTCTAGGCTATATTCTTTTATTTTTATAGGCTATTAAAAAAACAAACACTTTTTTACCGAGACAATTTCCTCATCACCAAACCAACAATTTGGCCTTTTTCATAATGTCCTTTATAGCCTACTTATCTCAAAAGTTATTGGTCATTTTTTTTCCAAATTCTTTTCAATTGTATTAGTATTTATATTTATTATTTATTTTGTAAAAAAATAATAAAAGAAAAACCCTCTGTCTCCAATGAAGCCACTCGATTGGAATTGAGGGAGGTTTTTCTTCAAATATTCTGACATGTAAATAGAATGGGAAATGTGGGCTTCTTTTAAGGATATAAGGTGCACTGGAACGCGCGCGCGCACACACACACACACACACACACACACAGAGAGAGAAGAAAAGAATCATTTATTCAACCGACCGGAAAATTGAAGTTTGATGCATTCCTTCCTGCTTAAACAACTGGACCTGACCCCCCATACTGGTGGACCTCAGAAGTACTGACTGCTGTTATCTGTCAACACCAAATATATATAAGAACCAAGTCTTCATCAAGTGCATGCATCATCAATATATAATAATAATAATTATGCTTACTATTATTATTGTTTATTTATTTTTATTTCTTAAAAAAATGTAGTACATTGTACTTTTAAAAAGGTTTTTATTAAAGCAGCATTACAGTTAATATAACAACAATACCAATATGCTATAGCTATAAAGACCATAAACTACTTCTATACATTTTTGATTATTCCAATATTTTTTGTTGTTGTTAAAACAATGAGATACTTATACAGTAACAAATAATAATACTCTTATATACAATTATTGCAAATATATTTTACTGTGATTGAAGACCATAATTTACACACATCAGGCCTTCCAGTGATGACTATTATTGTTTCCATCAAGATTATCAACATCATCATCTGCACTTGGCTGTGCTGCTGTGCTGGGATGTGGGTTTCTGTGTGCAAGACGTTGAATATATAGGCTACAGTCGATGTTGAGGACAGAGCAGAAGAAATGAGCTGCTCTGCCGCAGGGCACAGCTTGATTGATCACTAAATAGGGCAGATTTGAAAGTTTTAGTTATAACGTTCCTGTAGAGCCCCTTAACACTTCAAACTTCAATTTTACGGGCTATTGAACTAAGCGTGTCCCTGACAAAATTGATATATGTATTAATTTACTTTAACCAGTGATTAATTACCATCCACAAAGAGAATTATCCGCGCAACTCTCCCTCCCCCCTCTAAATTTGCATATTAATCAAATTCTAGTTGATAATTCAGTCAAAGAAATGGATTTAACAGTGCTGGAAGGCATAACTCTCTTTCTCTCTCTGTTTTCTCACACACACTTTCTCACCCCCCTCCTGGGGCCTGAGTTCCCTCTCTCTCTTTGGCTGCTAAGCTGCTTGTCGAGTGTATTAAAATCAGAGAAGCAGAACGAGCTCGACTGGCTATTTGGTGAAAACAGAAATTGCATGTCCACTTTTATGATGTGTTCATGCTGAGGAGGCTCTTTCTAATGTGGCCTGTCAGAGCAGCCGTGGATCTACAGAGGGCAGGCAGGGAGTTATAGTGTGTGTGTGTGTGTGTGTGTGTGTGTGTATGTGTGTGTGTGTGTGTTTGTGTGTGTGTATGTGTGTGTGTGTGTATGTGTGTGTGTGTGTGTGTGTGTGTGTGTGTGTGTTTGTGTGTGGTGATGTGTAAATCATAACAACACACTGAAGGTTAAGAAAAGGAAAAATTACAAGAATGTGTTGATGTAAGCAGAATGCCTTTCATGTTGCATGCTCTGAGTCTAAATGTCTGAATCATTCATTTTCAATTAGATATAAAGGACATTTACTGTAAAGGCAGATGTAACTTGTTTACTTTTCGAGGGAGAAAAATAGAGGTAAATGTATATATTCCAGTCATGGAAAAAAAAAATTGAGTTTTCAGATTTTATAAAGTTTTTACCACAAGTGTTTTTTTTATTAATCAACCAACTACTTTTTATTCAAAATGCACCAAATCACAAGTTATCAACTTAACGTGAAAAGCCGGCCTGATCAGTAATTTCCATCGTGAGCAGGCACATGAGAAAGCGCATTTAACAGGCAGAAACCTCCAGACCCTTTGGTAAGAAGCCATCCACAACTAGATGTATATCTACATTGTATTTATTTAATTATATAGGCTAAACACAAGTGACCATACATGTTGTTGTGTTTTCCTTCTTTTATATTTGTAACGTTTGTTCTATAGGAAGCAATCATGTTAAGTTAAACCACATTGTACTCAGGGGCACTCAATAAGTTTACATGCTTGGTTGAGTCGAGCTAGGGTTATAGCTTGATAAGGCCATTAATTGGACTACTCTTTGTTGTCCCAGTCTACAAGCACGGGGAGAGAATCGATTTATTGAGTTATGTCTGTGTTCACGATAGGTGGTGATAAAACTCATTACAGCTAGTTACTATTGGACCTTCTTCTGGTTGACCTTGCTAACAAGTTAGCGAGCAGCAAACTGAATACCAAATGGTAAAAAGATGGACTCTTTTACAGATTTTTACATTTTGTAAATACTTCGGCCTTTACTCTTGGTACAAATGCAGGCTATCCCTCTACCTTATGGTGATATCCGAAGGCAAACGACAACGCAAGTTCCGCTATGTTACGCATTTATGATGTTTGACTTCCAGAATAAAGTTGATGCAGGAACTGTGAAGCATGCACAGAACATCTCGTCCAGTTTGGGTCCGATTGACGTATATAAATGCAAGAGTTAATAAATCCCCTACCGCACTATCCTACGTGTGTGACAGAGAAATAGCCCATGTGGACAGCAAAAAACAACATGGAACATTATTCACGCTAATGACATTGTCCCATCAGCAGTAATCTAAAAATGATATATTTGTGAAAAAACAGAAGTCCGTGGCACACTGAAAATAACTTCACTATATTTTTATTGTGCGCGAACAACGCGTTTCACCTTTAGCTTCTTCCGGTTCGCCCAGCACAATCACCTGAAGAAGCTACAGGTGAAACGCGTTGTTCGCGCACAATAAAAATATAGTGAAGCTATTTTCAGTGTGCACAGACTTCTGTTTTTTCATGATTTGATCCTGCAACCGTGAGCACCTGGGAGCGTGTTTAGGCTGTGCACGGGGTACCCTGTTGACCATACATGATATATTTGTCTTTATTTAAACAGATAGCTACATAAAAGTGCAGCTTAACAATCCGTAATAGATCAAACATTTCAACTTGAGCAACACATCTGCTTGATGCTGTGTTGTTAAAGCCAACTCATGTTTAGAGTTCTTGACTTCTGATGCGTATCAGAAGTGATCAATCCAACTTCCATTCAACAAAAACTGTAAAAGTTGTTTTCTTCTCCTCTGGAGGACAGACCTAACAAAGCATTGCTTTTCACTTTTAAAAAATCTGCATCATGATTTTTTTATTTCGGTAAACTTAATCCCCGTTAATTGCAAGTACATCAC